GGGGCTGCAGACTCTGCGCTGGAGAGGTCTCCTAAGGACACGGGTGGGGAAAGCTCCAGGAAGAGCTTTCCTGGGTCACACCAAGGCCTCCCCGTGGGTTCATATGAGAGAACCCAGAAGAAAACCTCAGAGGAGAGAGCCCTTCTCTGCAGCAGAGATATTGGCGTGACAATTAACGTCAATTAATCCAACAGCAACACAGCTCCCACAGCCGTGGGGGTCCCCATCCTGGCTGGGACCTGCAACACTTTGGGTGTTGCCCCAAAGTGGGGCCCTTTCCCCACTCTGCAGACCCCAAATACACACCCCAAGCAGAGGAGTTCTCTGCTGATGGCATTTCTGCAGAGGTGGGTGCTGGGGGGAGACCCACAAAGCCACCACCCCCCCCAGCCCAACCTGGGCCAGGCTCTCACCACCCTCCCACCAAACAAGTTCTTCCCCACATCTCAGCTCCATCTCCCCTCTTTCAGGGTCAAACCCTTCCCCCTCCTCCTAGGGCTCCCCTCCCTCATCCAGAGTCCCTCCCCAACTTTCCTGGAACCCCCCCTTTAGGGACTGGAAGGGGCTCCAAGGTCTCCCTGGAGCCTTCTCTTCTCCAGGCTGAACCCCCCAACTCTCCCAGCCCCCCCTCCCAGCAGAGGGGCTCCAGCCCCCCCAGCATCTCTGTGGCCTCCTCCAGCCCCATCCAAGAGGTCCACGTCTCTCCCGTGTGAGGGTGGTGAGAGCCTGGCCCAGGTTGCCCCGAGAAGCTGTGGCTGCCCCATCCCTGGAGGGGTTCAAGGGCAGGTTGGAGGGGGCTTGGAGCAACCTCTTCTGGTGGGAGGTGTCCCTGGGTGGGACTGGATGGTCTTTAAGGTCCCTTCCCACCCAAACCATTCCACGACTCTCTGATTAAGCTGCCCAAACAGAGCACCTCCAGTAGTTATCACAAGCAGCTCCATAACCTCTCCTCATCAGCTCACCCTCCAGGTCACAACACAAGAGCACATTTTTCTCGTTTCTTCCCGTATCATTTCAAAGTTCTCCAGAACTTTTTTCTCCAGCCGCCAGGAGGAACCTGCTCCTGGTCACTCACAGTTTTCTCAGCTCAGCCTCCGCAGCTGCTGAAGCTTCCTCCAGCTCCCTACGAAATGTCAAAGTATTTCCTCAGGACAAAGGCTGGACGGTATCTCCTAAAGGCCAGACAACACCCAGAGGAACATTCCCTCCCTGCCCAGACAATGTCTGCGCTTTTCCTCTGCGATTTCCTCTGCGATTTCCTCCCCAGCCCCACACGACGTTCTCCAGGCGTTTCCTGACCAGAAGCTTCTTCACCAGAAGAAACACCAACCCTGAACCAGACGCAGGGGCAGGACCAGGAGAAACCCCAGATCCTGGGATCAGGGGTGCTGGTGACCCCAGGAGACTCCTCTCTCCCATCAGGGTGGCATCTCCTGATGGAAAAGCCTTCTCCTCCCCCTCCACAGCCCACTGCTACCCACCTTCCCTCATGAAGCCGCAGCGCTGACCTCCCAGCAGTTAATCCGGGGTTAATCAGGGATTCCTGATCCAGCCTTTGACCCAAATTCCCTTTTTTTTTTCTTTTTCTTCATTCTGCATCACCGGGAGGGAGCTGGGAGGGGGAACACCCCCACCTGCACCCCTCCTTCTGGCTGGGGTCCATCCCCAGCTCCTCTCCAACCACTGAACCCAAGGAGGAGACCTGAAAGAGAGAGAGATCCTTTATTCCCTCACTCTTCACAATTATTAAGGAGCTAACGGCAGCCGATGACTCAGTTTCATCTTTACCATCAAAGAGATGGGTAAAGAAATGCTGTTTGCTTTATTTATTCACCGGCTCGTGGATGATTCGTGGAGAAGAATGGCCATTTTCAGAAGAACTTAGTTACAAATCTCCATTTCACACCACTTTCCCCCACCATGAGACTTCAAAAGGGCTTGGAAGATTATAAATATAAAAACCCTTGAGGTCTCTTTCCCCAGGCTGATGGTGACCAGAGCGAGCGCCCACACACAAAGAGATCGATGTCCCCAGTGACCAAAATTTGAATAAATTCCTTGATTCTGTGGCACGGGACCCCCCCCCAACGTCGTGGGGCAGAGCCAAAGCCCTCGGCCGCCTCCACATCCCTCTCCCAAGTATCAATAACCCTTTCCAGGAAGGATTTTTCCCTAATTTCCATCCTCAACCTCCCCTGGGGCAACTTGAAGCCATTTCTTCTTGTCCCATCTCCTGTTCCTTGGGAGAAGAGACCGACCCCCCCCTGGCTACAGCCTCCCTTCAGGGGGTTGGAGAGAGTGAGGGGGTCTCCCCTCAGCCCCCCCGTTTCTCCAGGCTGAAGGAGGCAGCCGGGGATTAACAGAGAACAAAACACCTTTTTAGAGTAAACGCTCTAAAAAGTCACTTTTTCCCCACCCCCCCAGCCTTTAATCTTCAAATATTCATGCAGTAAAATGGGACTTTATGTAAAACTAAAGGAAAAAAAGAAAAAACGAAGAGATTTCCTGCCTTTTCTGAGGTGTCAGGCTGCGGGTAACACACCCCCCGGGGGGGCCACGGGCACTGAAAATAGAAATAATTTGGGTTCAGCCCCGGAGATATTGGGAGCGGGGTGTGGGAGAGAGGAGGAGAGGGAAGGGGTTGGAGGGAGAGGGTCTTTGAGGTCCCATCCCACCCAAACTGTTCCCCAATTCCACGACTCCTGGAGCCCCCCCGATCCTTTTGGAGCTCAGGGAAACACCCCCCCGCCCCAGGGCAGCTCCCAGGATTTCACTTGATGGCAAAAAAACCCCAATTCCCACCCAACCTGGGTGCTGGGACCCTCTGGTGACCACCAAACACCCCACACACCACCCTTCGGCCTTTCTGGGGGCACCAAACCCCCCCAGAGCCCCAAAAATGGGTGCTGAGACCTTTTGGCAAGACCCAACGCCCCCCCCCAGAGTCTCTCTGGTGCTTTAAGGAACACCAAAACCCCCCAAATTCCCCTCAAACTGGGCGCTGAGACCCTTCGATGACCCCCAAAACCTTCTCTGGGACCTCCACAGGGCCCTTTTAGGACCCCAAACCCTCCCGAGCCCCCCCAAAATGAGTGCTGTGCCCCTTTTGATGACCCACAACCCACCAGGTGCCTCCCTGACCCCTTTGGGGACCCCCAAAACCACCAAGTTCCCCCCAAACTTGGTGCTGGAACCCTTTGCTGACCCCCCAAAACACCTCTGGGACCCTCTGCAGTTTTTTGGGGACTGCAAACCCTCCTGCCCCCCCAAAAAATGGGTGCTGTGACCCTTTGATGAACCCCAACCCGCCCTGGGCCCTCCACAGGCCTTTTGAGACCCCAAACCCCCAGCCAGAGCCCCCCACAAT